TCCTCCGAGATGCCTCCGCTGCTCGCCGACATTGACGTAGATGAAGTCCCACTACCTCCTCCTGTTGTGCCTTCGTCAGCCGCCGATGATGAGGGGAGACTTGGTTCGTCGCCTGCGGTGCCGACCAGTTACATCGCCAGTGGCCGACGCGACGCCGAGAAGGTCGGCGACGGTAAGCAGCAGACGATAGGGGAGCTGTCGGCGTTGAAGCCGACTTCAGAGAAGCCGTCGGCAGAGGTGCCACCTGCAGAGAAGCCGCTGGCAGAGGCGCCAGCTTCAGGGGAGCCGTTGGCAGGGAAGCCGATCCTGTGGAAGCCGTCGGTAGAGGAGCTGCCGACAGGGGAGCAGTTCGACGACGACTCGTCGAGCGACGAAGTTGTGGAAGTCGTCGGTGCGGCCGGTGGCGAAGAAGGGGAACAGTCTGAAGACGAAGACGTGGTAGAGGTCGCGGTCGAAAATGAGAAACTGCATCGTTCTACCCGCCCCAACATCGGCAAGCCGCCTGAGAAGCTGAGCTACCACGCTTGTCTTCCGCCGACGGCCTACGACACCTGCTCGACGACGCAGAAGACGAGGTCGATCTGCCCGAGCTCGACCCCGACATCCACGCCGACCTAGAGCTGGAAGGGCATCGCCAACATGACGGTGAAGGAGGCATTGACGAGCTGGAAGGGCAAGGCGGTAAAGGCCGCCATGGACGAGGAGATCAATAGCCTCATCTCCAACGGAACGTGGGAGCTGGTTGAGCGTTCGCGCGGTGCCAACATGATGAAGAACCGCTGGGTGCTCACGACAAAGTACCACGTCGACGACACGGTCGCCCGCGAGAAGGCTCGCCTGGTGGTGAAAGGTTTCACGCAGGTCTACGGCGCAGACTACGACGAGACGTACGCGCCGGTGGGGAGCTACGTAACTCTGCGGATCTTCCTCGGCATCGTAGCAGTCCTCGACCTACACCTGATGCAGCTGGACATGAAAAATGCGTTTCTGCAGAGCAAGCTGGATCGCATCCTCTATATGTACAAGCCCGACTACTTCAACGATGGAACTGGTCGCGTCTGCAAGCTGCTGAAGAGCTTGTACGGGCTGAAGCAAAGTTCGTTGCTGTGGTAATCGGCGCTCGACGCGGTGCTAACCGGAGCGAATTGGAAGAAGAGCCAAATCGATGAGGCGCTACACTTCAAGGTCGGCGACGACGGGATGGCGTGCTGGGTGCTCGTCTACGTCGACGACCTGCTCGCCACGAGCAGCAGCACTGCGTTGCTGAAGGAGCTGCTGGAAGCCGCCTTTGAGCTGCGCGAAATCAGCCCGGTCGAGAAGTATCTTGGGCTGGAAATCGTACAAGACCGTCCTGCGAGGAAGCTGTTGCTTCACCAGCAAGTCTACATCGACAAGCTGCATCGGCCTTTCATCGACAAGGAGCAGACCGAGAGAGTGCCAAAGACGCCGGTCTCCGTCGACTCCTACGAAGAGCTGGTGTTTGACGACGAGGAGTTTCAGTCGCGCGAGGAAGCAGAGTACCGGCAGAAGTTCGGCTCGCTGCAATGCTCGGCCACCACGGCAAGGCCCGACATTGCCTTCGCTTGCAGCAAGCTCGGATCCGGCCTAACAATGCGGAGCGACAACGACTGGCGTGAGGTCGATCTCTGTCTGCACAACCTCGCTGAAACTCGTGACGCCGCTCTGGAGTTCGGTGGAGGACCAGAGTCGCTGTGTCTGGTCAGATATGCAGATGCCGACGACGCTGGTGACAAGCAGAATTGGACGAGCACGGGCGGCTACGTTTTTGTCTTCGGAGGAGCCGCAGTCTCCTGGTCGAGCCAGCGCATCAAATGCGCGACGCTTTCGTCGACCGAATCAGAGTACGTCGCGGCTACCGAAGCTGGCAAGGAGGCTCGACGTCTGCGCTTCCTCCTTTCACAATTTCGTCTTCTCGACGGAAGGAAGCCGACTGTTCTGCACGTGGACAACCTGTCGGCGATTGCTGTCGTAGAGGGCTAGGGGCTCAAGGGCAACCTCAATCACATAGAGCGACGCTACGCCTGGCTGCAATAGATGGTGAAGCGCGGGAAGATTGCTTTGCAATACATCCCGACCTCCTAGCTGCCGACGGATTTTCTGACAATGGCGCTGCGTTTTCCGGCTTTCAACCGGTGCTCCGTCGCAATCGGCCAAATGCGTCTGGCTATCGTAGGCGACAGGGATGACGAGGTGCAGCAGTAGGTGCCGTGCCCTTCTGCACAGCTGGTGCGGTGACATGCTCGCTATGTGTTGGATGCACGCAGACAGACTTTTCTCCTTGTATTCTATCCCTCTGGGTTCTGGGTGGACCTCGTGTATGGGTGCTCAAGCGTGAGTTGGGCAGGGGAGTTTTGAAGAGAAAGGCCCCGCCCTTGCTTGGGCGTAGCCAATCTTGCCGTCGACGGGAAGTTCTCGACGGATTGGTCGAAGAAGTTGTTTCTGCAGTTTGACGGAAGTTGCGGTCGAGCAGGCTCTGCTCGACGGAATCTGGTCGACGAGCTCTGCGCGACGCTTCTGGTAAAAGAGCTCTGGTCGAGGGGCTTTGATCGAGGAGCTCTGGTCGAGGAGCTCTGGTTGGCAAACGTTGTTCAACCGAGCAATGTCGAGCTGATCGACCGAGTTCGCAGAGTTGTGCGAAACTCTGCGGAGGCGTGCGAACTTTCGCCCAGGAGGCTTTGGTAAAGTTCGACCTGCGGAACGGCATTACGTGGTTGACGGTGCGCACCTGGCGATACCGACGACACGTTTTCTACCTGGCACCTACGCAATGTGCCTCACGGTGAAACCGCCAACCTGCACCTACTAAGTAGGTGCGCATAGCTGCGCAGATAGGCAACCTGCGACTGCAGATAGTTACCTGCGACTGCAGATAGTCACCCGCGACTGCAGTGCTGGCAGACCGCGCACAGAGCAACGCTGGCAGATTACTCTGCTACAGCGTTGGCAAGCTGCTCTTCTGCTGCGCTGGCAGATTTCGCCCTTGCTAGGTGTTGCATGCCCTTCTAGTCCTTTTGTTTTGCATGCCTCAATTGTACTATCAACTTTTCGATGCAAGTTGTTTCTTTCAACTTCCTTAGTGAAATTCTTGCCAAACTTCTGTGTGAACACAAGCAAGAAGTAAGAACGCTACTAGAGCACTACAATCACTCGCACAACCCCGTGCTCTCCTCAGTAGTCCACTCCCGTTGTGTAGTGACTCTCCGCAGAGACGTGGGCACAGTACGGCACCCGCCTGGAGTTATCATCGTCATTCCACCCGCAAACTGACGGACAGACAGGCGAACAAATCAGACCATGGAGCAGTTGATTCCCACGAACTGCCCCTACTTTTAGTGTAAGGAATTTTCCCTACTTCCTTACTGATGCACCTTTTACGCGTATAACTCTAACTTTCGGAGTTCAGGCTCGGTCCGATGACCTCGCCTTCTGAACGTCCCTCGCGTCGCCTTCGGTTTTCCCAAACCCCAAACCCGCACCCGACCTTGCGCTGTCCCGCGGCCTTGGCCTGGCTAGCTTTTGCTATATTAGTGCTAGTGCTCATTATTTCGACAGGCGTAATCACTTCCGTGATATTGCGTTCTAAGTGTACACATCGAGGTCATGAAGTGGAGAACAAGCGTTGTTGTGCGTTGCACAATACGATGGAGAGCACCCGTGAGCCAGTTGGATAGGTGCCCATCGTGTCGTGAGTCGTACGTGAACTGAAGGGACACAAGTAAATTGCAAGAGCCGTCAGCCAGCCGAGTTCAATCCGACGGCTCTTGTTCAATGCCGCTATGAGATGGAATGCAGGATCCCCACCACACCAATACGGTTCAGTATCAACTATGTTCCACAACTCGGAACGGAACGGAACAGAGTCCGTCAAATCGAAGCCCAAGAGCCGACAGCGTCCTGAGCAAAGCGCGGCAAATTTCATGCCACTCCCAACCCAAACTGCTCCTGCTTGCTCGGCAGCGGGTCTGGTCTGGTCACCTCACGTCCCTTTCTCCCTAGCTTACGCAGCAATTTGTCGTTCCACGGCAAACTCAACCGCTTTGCCAGCAGACCCATCGCATTCCTAGGAGTTGTCCAGCTTCAGCTGTACAATCGACGGTGGAGCGCTGATTACATCTTGCTGATGACGATCTCGGTCGTAGATTTCTCCTCCGTCGACATTACCGAAGCACCCTTTCCAGTTCCCGCAGAGCAGAGCACTGTGGATGCCATCTGTAGGATGCCCATCGCTTGGCCGCAGCTTTGTCATCAGTGCGCCTGGCCAGACGAATCGCCACCGACTGAAAGCTTTCATTGCTTTCGGTGTGGCTGCCTGACGAGAACGCCTTGAGCGCCTTTGCAGGAAGTTTTCTGTAGATCCATCAATGAGTGTACAGCACAGCATATAGTTCTCCCTTGTAATGGGATGTATGGTAGCGTTGTTGTCTGAAAAGATACAGATCGGACGGTGGAGAATGTTAGGCTGCTTACTCAGGGGGCCAGCGCGAGTAGTCCAGGAAATCCCATTCGCAGATATTTCCTGTCGCTCTGATATGAAACAGCCGCTGTTTGGAACGACCCGCAAGCATTCGACTGGCAACCACCAAACGGCGCGATCCAGGAGTAACGACCAGAAAAAGCGTTGCCAAATTAACGGTGCAGATCCTATTTGCTAATTCAGCCGCCATGGTGCCATCAACGCCTGGGCTTGCGCTTTTCCGAGCAGCTTTTAGCCCCACTTCGATGCTGCTATGACGAGCAGAAAAGCTAAATCAGCAGAGATATCGTCAGGATCAGACGAGAGATAAACCAAGGCATTTACGAGAAAGGAGCTTCGTATCCATTGCTGTCACATGCAGCTTGGTGATAGTTTCGCCAATTCTTAGGTCCGTTTCGAGTCCCCTTGGTCATCACGAGCCGAGATACGATTGCAAGGACTTCTTAACAAAGAAGCCTTTGTTTCCAGTTCTCTCTTTTGAAAGCCACAGCGACATATAACGAGGATGCCGGAGCCAAGCGCCGTGTGGCTGGTGGACATCAGCAAGACCATCGAATCCGCCATTGGCGCTCTCGCGCGCGCTAACCTCGATGCTAAGAGCCACAACGGCAGAGTACAACTTGTACTCGTTACAGTCACAGCAGGTACGCCGATTCTCCACCCTGTCACCCTCTTCCCCCAAAATCGTTTTTCTTGATCCTATTCCTTCGCCTGTACTCCCTTCCACAGTCCCACATCCCGACCTCTCTCCCCGTCTCTCTCCCCACATCCTTCCCCCCCACATGACCCAAGCCCCGAAAGTCATTCATTCTTGCATACCCTAATCCCACCCCCTTCCCCTCCCCTCTACTTTCCCTTCTCCCTTCTCCTCCTCTTATTCCGTTTTTGTTCCTTTCACCAGGCATGAGCGGGAGTGCCTCACCAGCGCACGGCATGGCGGGGAAGATGTCGTTCGCGCGGCAGCTGCAGGCACAGGCGACGAAGAGCGAGGAGGACGAGGTCTACCCCACCTCCGGCCGCAAGCAGAGCGCTGCAGACCTTGCCTCGCCCTCGGTAAGCAAGCCGGTTTGTTATGCACCCCTATCCCCCCTCCCTCGGCTCCCACCCTCCCCTTACCCCCCCTACCCGCCTCCCCCCCCCCCCCCTCCCCCCCCCCCCTTCATCCCTTTCCCTCGTTTTTTAGAACAGGACTATGTCACCTGCCGATGCGCTATTCACCTTGTTCCACAGCCTTCTTCACGGATTTCGTTCTCTAATGTCTTGAGTCGTCCTCCTAATTCGTGTCCCAACCGCCTCCCTTCTTCCCTCCACTGCTGTGCTGTGTTCCTGCGCCCCTCTCAACCCACAGGCGCGTCCGGCCATCACGATGCACACAGAGGCGGCAGAGGTGACTTTTGAGTGGACCCAACGATCGCTGCTTGGCGTGCTTCTTCTTGCCCTTGCGTCCGCCTCGCCCCTCAGGCACGCCCCGCCATCACGATGCACACAGAGGCAGCGGAGGCAGTGGGAGCGAGGGATGTGCATCGCAGCTGTCAAGTTCCAATATTTTCATTCTCTCTTCGTGCCTTTCGACCACCCCCCTCCTCCCCACTACTGCGGTGCTGTGTTCCTCCTCTCCTTGTCCGTCCCTCTAACCCACAGACACGCCCAGCCATTACGATGCACACGGAGGCAGCGGAGGCATGGGAGAGAGGGCTGTGCATCGCAGCCGTCAAGTTCAAGGCGCAGCGGCTCTACATCAGCAACACGCCGCCCCCTAAGAAGGCCAGGTGCGTGGCTTCCTTCTTCCCTGTGCCGACTTAGACCGCGAACCAGCCGTGAGTCGTCTCAGCGGATCAAGGCGCAGCGGCTCTACATCAGCAACACGCCGCCCCCTAAGAAGGCCAGGTGCGTGGCCTTTCACTGTTGCATCCACCGTGAGGTGCCTCAGTCACAAACGCCAGTAGACAGCGTACAGAGTCATTTGCTCTCTCGTTTTTCCTCTGAGTCTTCATGTCTTCTTTTCCCAAACCTCTCCTTTCCAATTAGAGCCGCTGAAAGGGTCAGGTCAGGATTCATTGTGCCGCCTCTTCTGCTCCCTTTCCCCTGCGCCTCCTGCAGTCGGCGCCTGTTCCGGAAGCACGAGCCCGCACCAATCATGGATTTCCCGCTGGACCTCCTCCCCTCCACCTGCACGCTGCTCATCCCCAAGGCCGACAAGCTCATCACGCTCCAGGGCCACCTCAACGCATCCGCACCGTCCATCGAAACCCTCCTCCTGATCAACGGCCTCGGTGCGCCCTCAGCGCTGCACAGCTTCAACGGCAGCAGAGGCCCCTCACCGTCCCGCAAGGGCCTGCCTCCTCTCTCCCCTCGAGGCTTCACCCCGCGCCTCTTCTCCCCGCGTACAGCCTCCCCCACTGATACCACTGACCCCCAGCTGGGGAACCCCCACCACCAAGCGAATTCTGCTTTTCAAGGGAATTCCCTCCAAGGGGTTTCCCACCGTGTGGAGGTGTATCGGCCGGGGCTGCCGCCGTCGCCGCCAGCTGTTTGCTCGCCGTCCACTGCAGCAGGCGTGGCGTATTCTGCCGCACTGGCCTCAGGCTCAACGGCAGCTGCTGCTGCAGCACCACTGGGCAGTTCATCCCTATCCCCATCCAGAACAGCAGCAGGAGGCGGAGCAGGGGCGACAGGGATCGACCCTCGTGTGCAGCCCCCGTCCCCACGCATCCACTTCCGCCCCTTCAACGTGTCGGCGTCCTTTGCCTCGCGCTCCATCAAGCGCCGCATCCCCTCTGCCTCCATGCGCGCTGCCTTTGTGCGCCGCATGCTCAGCCCCAGCGCCGCCCGCCGCGGCCGGGCAGGGGGAGCTGATGGCTTGGATAGCGACGATAGCAGCGGCGGCGGCAGCACCCACTTCTTCAACCGCGCTAGAGGGTTCTCCCTTAGTAGCAGCTTTGGCAGCCACAGCGGGGGTGGTCCTGGCGCAAGCGGTGGCACCGCTGGTGCTGGTGGTGCGGCTGGCGCAGCTGGTGGTGGTGCTGGTAGTGGGGAGTTGCTGCGGTCGCGGCTGCAGAGGCAAAACTCCTTCTCCAATCTCGAGGCGCTCATGGCTGCTGGCACTTGCTCCGGCACCTTTGCTGTCGGCTCCGGCGCCCCCCTGCTCGGCACTGGCGGTTACTACGGTGACACTGATTTCCCCACCACTGCTTCTAATGGTGACGCTGCCGCTGCCGCTGCTGCTGCTAGTGCTGCTGCTGGTGCTGGAGGTATTGCTGCTGGTGTCGGTGCGGGTGGGTTCAGTGGGGGTTCGTTGGCAGACGCGGTGCAGAGGGCGGCGAGGGCGGGGGCGATGGCGGGGAGGGGGCGCAGCATGATTCCCCAGTCGGAGCCGCTGTGCCTGGGCATGTCGGCTGCTGTTCTCATGGACGACTCGGATGAGGAGGACGAGGAGGAGGAGAGGGAGAGCGAGAGGGGGAGCGAGAGGGGGGAGGAGAGTGGGAGTGAGCGAGGAGGGAGTGAGAAGGCCGGGAGGCTTGGACTACAATTGAATCTGCGCGCGCGACCGCCAACACCTCCCAAATCCCCTGTGGCACGGTCCATGGCAAGCTGCTCTGTCAGCAGCGCTGCCAGCATTCCCGAGCTGGAGGAGGGCGAGGAGGAAGAGGACGAGGAGGATGCAGGGAACGAGGTCCTGCAACGCACCACAGCCAGCCACAGCATGAGCACGGCACAGCCTGCGCACCAAGCCAGCTTCACGGGCTCGGATAGAGGTTCAGCAGGACCGTCTCCTCCCTCCAACCTGCCAGCCACACCACCCCGGCCTCACAGTTCCTCCCGCGCATTCCCCAACCGCCGCTCTCCACCATCTGCCCTCTCTGCCCTCCCCAATTCTCCTCCTATTTCCACTTCCTCCAAATCGCCTCCCCCTCAGGCACCCATAGCCCTTCTCATCCCCAGCAACCCTCTTGAGACTCTTGAGACAGCGTTTAGCAGCCCGCAGCTATCCCTGTCACCGTCCAGCCCCCACGACCCTGCGCAAGCTCCCACCACCCCTCGCCTGCCCAAGTCACCTGGTACCCCCACCAGTTTTCCCTCCCAAGCACCCACCACCCCTCGCCTGCCCAAAGCGTTTTCCAACCCCAACCCGCCCACAACCCCACCCGGACTTGCCCTCACCAAATCCTCCTCCATCTCGGCCCTTGCCCAGCTGCCCGCCAGCCCTAAGGGCGTGTTGGGTGCCGTGCACATGCCCTCCACCCCTCAGGGTGTGCTGGGGGCTGCGCACATGCCATGCACCCCTGACGCCATGCAGTTGCCCTCCACCCCTCGGCCTGTGCTGGCTCCTCTGTGCGGGGCAGCCCTTGACTTGAATCAGGATTCGCCTCAGGACTTGCTTCAAGACTCTGCATACACTTCTCTCCCCGAGGTGGAGAGCCCCTGCAGCATCAGCAGCCGCAGCAGCAGCGGTGGTACCACCAGTCAGCGCAACAACTGGAGTAACGGTAACCGCCACAGGGGCAGTTTGGACTGTGCAGCCAGGGAGAGGGAGAGGGAGAGGGTGAGGGGGGAGGAGGAGCAAGAGGAGGGTATCACGTTTGTCACTGGCGAGTTCTCAACCAAGGTAAGCTGTCTGTCCCACACTATTCCCCCTCCAGCAGCCTCTCAGCCTGGTTGCCAGTCCACTCCTCATGCAGTAGCAAACATAATTTGATTTGAGTGCACTCCTCACCAGTGCAAAATGCTCACTCTACACTTTCCCGTTCCCCCATTCTCCTTTTCCTTTTCCCTTTCCCTTTCCCCTTCCCCATTTTTTTCCCCCTCCCCTTTCTCCCACAGTACTCCTCCAGCAGCCTCTCAGCCTGGTCGCCTGCTCGCTCTGAGGCCAGCAGCGCCTCCCGTCTCTTCCGAACCGAATCCCGAACCTCCACCGAGTCCTCCCGACCCTCCACCGAGTGCCGGACCTTCTCCCGAGCCGAGATCCTCCAGGCCACCGACCACTTCTCCCCGAAAACCATCCTCACTAAAACCGTCCTCGGTACTCTCCACAAGGGCACGCTCTTCGGCTCTACCGTCGCCGTGAAACGCCTCGAGCACGCAAGCTCATGCGAGGAAGAAGATTTTCAGCGAGAAGTGAGCATACTGTCCAAAGTTCGCCACCCGCACGTAGCCCTCATGATGGGGCAGTGCCCCGAGGAGCGCTGCATAGTCTACGAGCACCTCCCAGGCGGCTCCCTCCTCGAGCGCCTCGCCAAAACCCCCGGCGCCAAGCCGTGGGCCCCGCTGACGTGGCACGACCGGATCCGCGTGTCGTGCGAGCTGGCGGCAGCCCTGGTGTTCCTCCACTGCCACGACCCGCCCATCGTCCACGGGGACTTGCGACCGGAAAATATTCTTCTGGACAGAAACAAGCGCAGCAAGGTGGGCGATGTGGGGATAGCCCAGTTCGTGGGGCAGGGCGAGGTGCTGCCTGAAACCTGGCGTTTGTCTGGCTCCGTGGGGTACATAGACCCGTCTGAGATGCAGACCGGGGAGGTGACGGGGAGGAGCGATGTGTACGCGCTCGGGTTGATAATCCTGCAGCTGCTTCTCGGGCAGCCGAATATTCGCGCGCTGCACAAGCAGCTGATGCCGTTCAAGCGGGCGGGCGGGGCAGTGGAGGCAGCCGTTGATGAGCTAATGTGCTGTTTAGATCCTGCGGCTGGGATTTGGCCGCGGAAGGTGGCGGAGAGGATGCTGGCGATGGCGCTGCTGTGTGTGCTGAACGATGCTGAGGCTCGGCCGGACTTTGTGGGGTGTGTGTTTCCGGAGCTGAGGCATGTGGGGCAGTGGGCTGAGGCGGAGAGGAAGCGGCGGTGCCCGGGGCAGGAGGAGAAGCTCATGTGCCCTTTGAGCAAGGTGAGACTCGGGCAAGCTTGAATTAGGTAGTCATGGTCTGTTGTTTTGCTTGACTCAGGATCCATCTTCGGGCAGGAAGAAGCTCATGTGCCCGCTGAGTGAGGCGAGACTTGGGCCAAGATTGAGCCAGCTAGTCAGCTGGCATGTTGTTTTGTTTCACAGTCAAGGCACGTGCCTGGTTGCAACATAACATGTACGTTGAAACGTCACCATGCTTGATTCAAATCTTAGGTGCCCTGCCTGCTGTTAGCTGTGTGCCACACATGGCTCGATTCTTCCTTCCTGCCCTGACAATGTCCCTTGTCTTATTTCGTTTTGGTGGTCTCCTTGCAGACTCGAATGCAGGATCCTGTGATTGCTGCTGATGGCTACACGTACGAGAGGAGGTGTATAGAGGAGTGGTTCAAGGACAGCAGTGTCTCCCCCAAGACTGGCAAGCCCCTGTCTCACAAGGCATTGATTCCGAACCTCACTATACTGGCCTTTGTGAACAGCTAAATGTGTTTGTATAATATTGTTTGTTTTGGTTGTGTCCTGCTCTAGTAATTATTTTGTTGTAAGTTGCTAAGAACCAATGCTTTAGCTACCTGCCATATTTTATATTATTGTCGGCTTTGTCTGGTCAAAAATGGAATCAACCAGCCAGGTTAAGTTGACGTAGGCATCAGTACACTCTTGCGCCCATTTCGACGAACTCTCGTTAGCGGGAATATGTACGGATAAGCAGAACGCCGAGGGACAATACGATTGGCTCGCCATTCCTGCGGTGTCAGCGGCAAACAAGGAATCTTTTCTCTTGCCGTGAAGCTGACGACGAAGGTTTGGAGGAGTGGAATGAGAGCTTGTTACCGACTGAACCTTTCGTAACCGTTGAATAAAGTACAAAACCGTTCTGACACGTTCAGAAACCTACCAAAATGCATTGAAGTGACAACCTTTTCAACACCCCCACCACTCAGCCGCCCAGCTGCCTAGCAGTGGAAGCTGTTGATATGAGACGGAAAGCATAAACAGCGAAGAGCATAAGGAATTCGTTCCAGAAGCAGCGTAGGATAGAAGTCTTACGGAGCCTACTATCTAGTTCAGCATCACCTACTTCTAGAGCTTCGAAGAAGCGCTCACTTATCACCTCGACTTATTAATTGCACGGTCCATTGCGTGAGAGGGGGCGATATTGCAAGCATGGCTGGAGAGGCGGAAGTCTCTGACGTGGCATCAGGAGTTCCCGAATTCGTGAGCTTGCCGAAATGCATAGCGGTCGCTCGGCGCGCAACCGTGCATCCATCTGGCATCGCCCAGCAATGCAGCACCACCTATCAAATGCTTGAGTCCCATCTGAAAAAGGTGAACCACCTTGAACCGATCTGCACGCCGACTGCTTCATCATCCCTAAGTAGTGTTTCCCAGCAATGCAGCCCACATTTTCAGTCACGGCCGATGAAAGGGTTGGTCGCCTTGTTACCTCGTTCTCGTCCGTTCTCACATCATCTGTTGCATAGTGATGACTCACTTCGACGGGGGCTTGCAAGCCTCCTAAAACCCCAGTTCAAGTCCACACTCGTGTAGCTTTGTCGCATAGCCTCCAGCTCACCGTTCGCTGAATAACCTTTCACACCTTCCGTCGTTGATTTTGTATTTCTGGCAGAGCGGAGCGGAGAGGGACGGTCGTTCGTATTGCATCTACTACTTCTTCACGCCTCTCCTCACCCGCATGGAGCTCGGCATTCCATTCAAGCTCTCCTCGCCAGATAAGACAGGTGCGATCCCCCCTCAGTTCCTCATGTGACGCAGCATTGAACGTATCCTAGCCATTTTAGTTACGGTATGTCAAGGAGCTTTCTGTCGTTGCTGTCGTTGCTGTGTGTTTGCAATGAGAGATTTTCCTTTTCTTCTTCGCCTTCGTCTGCTGTCCTTGCATCGCTTTATACATGCGTGTGAATTAGTCGACATTGGGGTCCGTTAGAACCTCGCTAAACGTCAGGTTGATTTCCGCTCTGCCCTATCTCCTCATCCCCATAACCTTTAAACGTTCAGTTCCTGAAGATCCTGCGAATGGCATCATTGTGGTGAACCGTCCCGATGTAGAGGCAGCAGCCATGTGGCACATTGGGCCGTACCAGACTCTGGGAAACACATATAAGGCTCTTTGTGAATGGATTCGCTCACAGGGGAAGTACCCAGGCAGCCTCGCATTTGAGGAGTACTACACCAATCCAATGGAAGAGAAGGACCCTGCTAAATATAGGACTCGAGTGTACATGTCCTTGTCTGATAGCACCATGGGATCATGTACCATCATATAGCTACCGGTATGCATGTGCTGCGTGGATCCTGCGGCTGGGATTTGGCCGAGAAAGGTGGCGGAGAGGATGCTGGGGATGGCGCTGCTGAGTGTGCTGAACGATGCTGAGGCTCGGCCAGACTTCGTGGGGTGTGTTTTTCCGGAGCTCAGGCACATGGGGCAGAGGGCGGAGGTGGTGCCTGGGGCAGGAGAAGCTAGTCACCTAGATTGTAGCTTGAAAGTCTCCTTGGGACATGTGAGGAGAAGCTCATGTCATGTGCCTTTTTGGACAAGGTATGTACATTGAAACTTGACCAGCTAGTCAAGTGCGCTGCAGTGAGTTGCTTGCTTGACCATGCCTCTCTTTTCTGCCTTATAGATTGATTCGCATGTACCTCCTGTCTGGCGCATATGACTTAGATTTTCCTGCCCGTCCTGACAGTGTAGCTTGTCTTCTTTCTTGAACTGGCAAACTCGAATGCAGGACCCGGTAATTGCTGCCGTTGGATACCGTACATGTACGAGAGGAGGTATAAGTACTCCCAAGACTGGCAAGCTACAGCCTCAAGGCGCTGGTTCCTAACCTCACTATACTGGCCTTAGTCAACGCGTATTTTGTATGATATCATTTCTGATTTGGGTGTTTTTTGTGCTAAAGCATGAATTGTTGTAATATGCTGTACACCATCGTTTCATGTAGATTTTCCTAGTGTGTATGAATAACGGGGTCATGGTTCCTCTTTCCTCATGGCTCAGAGTTCTTGTGTCAATAGCGTTTTATCTACCGTTGTCCAAATTTCTGTGAACTATACAAACAGTACACCGCGTGCATTTTGAGAGACTTCTCTAAACGAGACATGTACGGAGAAAGTGGGGTGAACGTCGGACGATGTGATTGGCTCCCGTTCTCACGGATGTCAGCAACAGCAGAAAGAAGACCCCTTGCCGTAAAGCTGACGACGAAGGTTTTGGAGGGTGCAATAGAAACAACCCGAATTAACCGCTTGATAAAATAGAACTACCGCTCTGCCTCGGACAGAATCTTACAAAAACGCGTCGAAGTAACAACCTATGACACCTCACCATCACTCAGGCATCCAACCCTGGTGGAAGCCATTCCATGTCGGAAAGAGGAAAGCAATAAAGAGCGAAGCATTTCGTACGTTTCACAGAAGCATCACTAGGTTTCACAGAATCGATCACTTAACATATCCTTTTATTATTTACACGGTCTATTTCGTCCGCGGGGGCACACATCACAAGCATGGCTGGAGGAGAGGCGGATGTTTCTGTCGTGGCATCAGGAGGTCCTGAATTCGTGAGCTTGCCGAAAGGCATAGCAGTCGCGCGGCGCGCAGAGCTGCATCCCTCCGAAATCGCCCTGCAGTGCAGCACCACCTACCCAATGCTCGAGTCCCATTTAAAGAAGGTGAACCGCCTTGAACCGATCTGCGCGCCGCAGTGCTTCATCACGCAAGTAGTGTTTCCCAGCTATGCAGCTCGCCGTTCAAGGAATCACGACCGATGGAAGGGCTCGTCGAATTTGTTACCTCCTTACCGATCCGTTCGCATAGTGATGAAGCTCGGCGGAAGCTTCTCGCCTGCCTCCCTGAACCCCACTTTTGCCACGTCGACATGTATGTTGCTTTCTCGCATGGCTGCCTCCCGCGTCCAGCTCGCCGTTCGCCGTTATCCCATTTGCCGAGTTCCCTCAAATGGAGACTGCCGGAACTTCCTTTCACACCCCCACCGTTCGTCCTTGTTTCTGTATTTCCGCCAGAGCGGAGCGGAGAGGGACGGCCCTTCTTACTGCATCTACTATTCCTTCACGCCTGACCACACCCGCATGGAGCTCGGCATTCCTTTCAAGCTCTCCTCGCCAGACAAGACAGGTGCGATCGCTTTCCTCTCAGTGACGTAACATTCAGAGAATTCTTCTTCACCATTTTGGATATGTCAAGGAGCTTTTTATCATTGCTGTGTGTTTGCTTGCTTGCAATGAAAGAAACGGATTGTTTTCTTGTTCTGCTCTCCGTCCATGACTTCTTGCATGCATGTAACTGAGTTGACATTGGGGTCGGTTGGAACCTCGCAAAACCTTAGGATGATTTCAGCACCTGGCTGAGTTTTCTGTTCTTCCCTATCTCCTCATCCCATAACCCCAAACGTTCAGTTTCTGACGATCCCGAAAACGCCATCATTGTGGTGACCCCCCCTGACATAAAGGCAGCAGCCGTGTGGCACATTGGCCCATACCAGAAACTGGGGAGCGCGTACAAGACACTTTCTGAATGGATTCGCTCCCAGGGGAAGCATCCAGGCAGCCTTATGCTTGAGGAGTACTATACCGGTCCAATGCAAGAGAAGGACCCTGCGAATTATAGGACTCGAGTGTACATGTCTTTGTCTGATAACACCATTTGATCATGATCATAATGTACCATAATATAGCTAAAACATGTGCTGGCTGGATACTGCGGCTGGGATTTGGCCGCGGAAGGTGGCTGAGAGGATGCTGGCGATGACGCTGCTGTGCGTGCTGAACGATGCTGAGGCTCGGCCAAACTTCGTATGGCAGTGGGCTGAGGCGGAGAAGAGGAGGCGGAGCCCCGGGCAGGAGGAGAAGCTCATGTGCCCGCTCAGTAAGTTTAGACTTGGGCAGTCACAACAAACCATGCATACCATACAGGCTACAGGACTTAAATAGCACAACATATTATAATGTAACAGCAACAACAACGGGACATTACAGAAAACCGTTGAAAATTATCTACAAAGATTTACACCGAAGTACATCACCTCATTAACGCGGATCAGCGAGGGACGCTGCTATTGGCTCCCCATTCTCGCGATGTCAGCAGAGGCACGGAAAGGGAAGATTCTTCCTGCCGTGAAGCTGACGACGAAGATAAACCGTCTCCGATTGGTTTCCGGTTAACGTTTTGGAAAAACACAAGCCGTTGCGCACCGCAAACAATCTCCCCAAACCATATGATGCTGTGTGAGTCGGCTCACAGCTGCCCAATCAGAGCGAAAGCTCTGTTCTGCGCTGTTCTTGTAGGGGTGATGCGGCGTGAGTCCGGAATATTACCCGCGCGATGCCATTCGTGAGCTTTTAAGAGTGGCCAAGACAAGAAGTCTCACGAAGTAATTTAGTTCTCCCGCACGCGATTTTAGAAATCTCACGAAGTTATACTTGTCCTCTCGTTTTTTTATCTACTTTCACTGTCCTTCGTTCGTGCGGCCATACCATGGCTGGAGAGAAGAACTCTGACGCGGCGTCAAAATTCCCGAATTCGTGAGCCTGCCGAAAGGCAAGATGGTGGTCGCTCGGCGCGCAGTGCTGCAGAATTGCAGCACCACCTTCCCAATGCTCGAGTCGCATTTGGAGAAGGTGACCGTTTTTTACACTTTCGGTGCGCTTTGGCTCATTCCCTGAAACCTGCAAATAAGTAATTCTGGGGGTAGTGATTCACAGCAACGCTGCGCCAGCAGCAACTGGCTTGAGTTACAGCCTATGAGGGGCTGGTCAATCTGTTTCCACTTTTCCCACTTTTCAAGTCTCTTCAGAATGACCCGTCCTTCCCCACCCCCTTCCGTCCTCTCCTCCTATTATTGCCAGTGCGGAGCAGAGAAGGACGGCCGTCCTTATTCTATCTACTACTTCTTCACGCCTCTCCTCACCCGCGTGGAGTGTGGGATTCCCTTCAAGCTCTCCTCGGCAGACAAAACAGGTATGCTTGCCCGTCTTCCTTGAGTCCTGTAGCAGTCTAAAGTAGCTCTCTCCACAATGCATGGTTCGCAACTTGGGCACGCTAAGGAACATTCCATTATAGCTGCGTTCTGTGATTGAAAGAGTGCGGCATGTCTTTTTTTGTCCTTTCATTTTGTAACAAATGTACCTTCTGAGGCGTTTGAAGTGATTGTACATTCTAGTTCCATAGGATTTCACACGTTGTCGTGTTGAGCTTGCCTGATCTCGTGCGCTGTTCGACTCTCCCCCTTCTTATATACCAAACGTGTAGTGCCAGACGACCCTGCAAACGGCATCATTGTGGTGACGCATCCTGAAGTAAAGGCAGCAGCCATGTGGCACATTGGGTCGTACGAGAAATTAGGGGACGCGTACAAGGCTCTTTATGAATGGATTCGTTCACAGGGGAAGTATCCAGGCAGCCTCTTGTTTGAGGAGTACTACACCAATACAACAGACGAGAAGGACCCTGCTAAATATAGGACTCGTGTATACATGTCTTTGTCTGATAGCTTTCTGGAGAGCATGGGATCATGTACCATAACATAGCTTTACTATGCACAGTATCAATGTGTATTTTGCACTGAGCGGCAAAGTGTGTTACCAATGCATAATGTTGGAGATCGCTGTCACTAACAAAGCTCGCACACATCACTGAACCCTGGCTGTCCAGTTTCAGTCAGAATCCAGCCCGTAGCCCTGAGCAGCTTGCAATGCCTGCACCTCCCTCTCCTTCATCAGCATCAGGTGACTCAGCTCATACAACTCTGCATCCAATGATGTCTTCTCCTGCTCCAGTGCCCAGAACCGGCCCATCCAAGCCTCCTTCTCACGCTGCACCACCCCCACCTGTTGCTGCACCTCCACCAGTTGGCCCTCCAATCGCTTTACCTGCAGCTGCTTCGCCTGAGCATCTTCCTCCACGGCCTTGAGCCTGCCATCCTTCCATGACAGCTCCCTCTCCAGCGCTGCAACCTTTGCTTCGGCCTGCCTCAATCCGCCTCTTATTTCCTCCACCTCCCTCCCCTTCGCCTCCAGGTGAACTTCCATGCCTTGCCTGCTCTCCATTGCCTTGGTCATCAACTCATTCAGTGTCTTAGTGTCAGCAGTCAGTTTTGCAATCTGCTTCTCCTTCACCATCACCTCTTGCTCTTCGGCCTGCAATTGTTGTCTCAAGGCGTGGATCTCAGCATCCCGCATATTCGCAGCTCCCTCCATCTCTTCAATCTTCGACTGCATCTCCTGAATCATCTCTTTTAACTCTGATACCCACTTCCCCAATTCTTCAGCCTTATTTCTAGATTCTGCCAGCTCCACGCCGACTTTCTCCTTCTCTTCTTGGACCTCTGAGATCACTGCTCCTAACACCTTCTCTATCTCTTTCACAGCCTCATCCTTCTGTCTCTCCATCTCCACAAACCGTGACTGCAAATCTTCAATCACCTCTTCGCTTTTCCTCTCCCTTTCCTCGCCAGCAGTCTTCAAGCCAGTCAGGTCCACAATCTCTGCTTGCAATCGGCCTACCTCATCCTTTAGCTCGTTTCTCTCCATCGATAAACGGTTATTTTCAGCCTCAGCCGCTGTCAGCGCTTCATTCGTCTGGCTGACCTTGTCAGTATGATCTGCCAGCTCGCCTTCCACAGACTTCAGCTGCAAAGCTTGAGCTTCAAAGGAAGCCTTGACGGACTTGAGCTGACCTTTCAGCGCCGAAATTTCTCTGAGCTGATCCCCCATTAGCTTCTGAGCCTCGTCTATCTGCAAATGACAACGAAACGGAGTTAAGGGTGCTGGAACATTGCTGGGAGGAGAGAAGACCTACATGAAATTGGTAAAACGCGAAGCAGTGGAGATGTCTACTTATACCTGTGATGCAGGAACAAGCCCTTTGATTCGCCAGCCTCCTTCTGCATCACCTCCGGCTTGCATTTTCAGAATCTGCTGATGCTGTTCCTGGAGCTTCCGCTCAGCCATGCCTAGCGCTACTTCTGCTTCTCTCGCTCCCTCCAACGCCTCATCCCTTTGCTGCTCCACGATTCTCATTCGCTGCTGCTCGCTGTTTAGAACGGAACGGAGCGATTCCAGCTCAGATGAGAGCATCTCTTTATGAGAATGAAGAGACGTAAGTTCAAGTCGTAGATTAGCAATGATTTCTGCGTCCTTAAAATCAACCTGAAAGGTTCAAGAGAACACGTGAGACACTCAGAAACGATAAGACTGAGAAGGACGGATTCGCATCCCGAATGTCCGTTCACGCGTCAATGTGTATTTTACCTCGTGAAGGGTCTTGTTTGCTGTTGAGCTAACAGCAGACTGAGGCTCGGCTTGTGAGCAAGAAGCATTTGTACCACCAGCAGGACTCTGACAACGGACATCTTCTGTTGCAATTTTTTTTTCAGCAGACGGCGTAGCTCTTTCGTCATCAAAATCTTCCAGCGGTATCTCCGAAGTGCCCGGTTTCCCTCCCTCCAGATCAAATACTTTTTGCTTTAAGATTTTATTCCTCGACCGTTCTTCCTCAACGCGATGCCGTAGTGTACGTATCGTCTGGTCCTTCGACAGCTTCAGCCTGTTGGTCTCTGCTAGAAGCTTCGCAACTTCCTTCTTCCATTCCTCGTCTCTCTTAACGAGTAAATCAGCGACCTCTGTCGATAATCCAGCTTTCCTTTCCCCTTCAACGGATGCGTCGTCCTTGCTCATATCTAGCATGTTTGAAATTGGTGTCACTGGTTCAGGAGCAGATTCTGCCGGAAAGTTGTCACAAACTGAATCTGTCGAATCTCTAGTCTCGTCGCTTCCTGTGTTCCTGGCGCTGCAAGGCACAGACGAGTACGTCCAACCACCGATCCACGGAGCACCTCCAGTCTCCTTGCGTACCGTAACGTGACAGAGGATGTCACCACCTTGTCTTCCCATTGTTTCCATGCTTACGGTGGACTATAGGAATGGTTGAAGGACGCTGATAGGACGGACGTAACGTGGCTAGAAAGATTGACTATTTCGTCGTATCAACTACGAAGCCATCGGTTTGCTCGCTAACCACATGATGACGGATGTCACGGCTATGACAGGCAACGGAGTATCCAAAATCTCAAGCCCGCTCCGTCCAACACTATTGACGCTATCCTACTTGAAACTCGAATTATCAAAGCTGCGCAACTTCGCCTTGAAGTAACTGACGTAGTTCGCTCACCACTCCTCAGGAACCATTGGTCCCTGTCATAAACTCTAACTAGACAACTGTATCAGTGCCCTGGAGTCTCAGCAAAGCAGTCATTTCCTCAAAGCATGCTTCTTCTAGAGTTAGCTGGTGGACAGACATGGGGCATCAGGCAGGACGGATTGTTGGGGATCATGCTGAATCACAATGGAATCGTCAGACTTGACGGCTGCATAACATCGCGAATGTGATTGGAAGAATACCGTGTCGGACAGTCAGGAATATGCGCTTGGCTGGAGACACAAGGGGAAACAACAGACGGATGTAGGGAAGAGTGGAAAGTAGCAGGCAGTCAGACACTGTTGACCGTTTGACACGCTGATTGAAAGACAGCTCCACAAGATGGAATTTGAACGGCAAATTCGAGGGACAAGTTTGCCCGGACCGCCACATTATCCACAAACTGACTGACGTCCTGACAGAATTGGAATTCTGGCGGGAAAACCCTACAGACAAGCCAAGGGTGTATACCACACCAAAAACCACACTTGCTCAATAAAAGCTAAACGTAAGATTGTAGCAGTTTCATTTTATTTTACTTCTTAAATAGTGAAGAGCCACTCCGTATTATTTTGTTTCTACACATTGGCTGACATAGCCAACCTTAAAAAAAAAAACGAAAAAAAAGAAACACAAACCTACGAATCAATCCGTGCCTTTTTTTGCGATTGCTCGTCGTCCACATCCTCAAACACGAATTTCTCATCTTGAAAGTGCTTCCTTACCAGGTCGAGTGCCCGTCGCCGATGTGATATTTCGTTCTTGGTCTCCTTCGGCATTTCCGCATAACTGCCACAGTGAAAAACAGGCAAGACATACGCGTGAATGAACTACGGTATGATTAAACCATAAACCAACAAAAGCACAACATAGAATAGGAAATGGATACCCCTTAGCAACCATAGAATAATCAACTTACGACAGAACCCACGTTTGCTCAAACCCATCAGGTTGAAACACAGGATCCCAGCCAAAATCCTTAGGGCCTCTTGCAGGGACTATCTTGCCCTGGTGGATGCAAGGGTAACGAAATACAGGCTGGTGATAAAGTCAAAGGATACAGATAAGAACTTTCATCTATGTGGGTGTGTGGGTGGAGATGTGTTGGTGAGTGCATGTGTATGTGTGTGCGTGTGTGTGGGGGGGGGGGACGAAAGGGGGTGGGCGAAGAGGGGGAGCAGAAGGCGGTGTGGTGCGATAAACTTGCATTGTTGACTCACCCCTGTTGCCTTTTGGCAACCACACTACAGAATGCATTTTGGTCCCTACCTGCAGCTTGCACCACTTCTCTACCCCATGTCCTTCCTTACCTCTCTACACCATATGCCACACCTCCATCCTTACCTCTCTACACCGCATGCCACACCTCCATCCTTACCTCTCTACACCGCATGCCACACCTCTATCCTTACCTCTGTCCTTCCAGCAAACATTGAAGATTCATGTTGGGGACCCAGGCAGAGGGAGAAGATGCAGAGTGCGTAGGTGGACTTGGGTCTGGTTTCCCCTCTCTCTGTCCCTCATGATACACCTCACCCTCCATACCCTTCTACACCATATGCCATACCTTACATCCATATCTCTGTCCTTCTAGCAAATCTCAGGGGTTCATGCTAGGGGTCCACACTCGGTATGCCATAGCTCCAATCACACCCCTTTATACCGTATGTCATACTTCTGTCCTTCAGGCAAAGCTCAGAGGTTCATGCTGGGGGCCCAGTTAGAGGGAGAAGATGCAGAGGGCATAGGCGGAGTTCTGTTCTGTGTGTGTGTTCCCTTTCTCCAGTCTCTGTGCTCAACGTATCCATCTACACCCCTCTATACCGCATGCCACACCTTCATCCATACCTCTGTTCTTCCAGCAAAGCTGAGGGGTTCATGCTGGGGGCCTAGGCAGAGGGAGAAGATGCAGAGAGCATAGGCGGACTTGTCCTCATATGCTGCCAGGAGGTTGTTCAGGCCTGATGATAGGAGGGCGGGGGCGGGCAAAGAGAGCACACACAGGCCGGTTCTCTTGGTGCATTTTGAGTCGCTTTTGAGAATTCTCAAAAGTGATAGTCGAATCTAGTTACACCTCATGGGCGGGCGGACTTGTCCTCATATGCAGCCAGAAGATTTTTCAAGCCTGGTGAGAGGGCGATGGGAGCGTTCAAAGAGAGAGTACACACAGGTCGGCCCTCCTTGGCCGTGTGTGAGCGATAGAACCAACGAAAGTGATTATTTACCGTGTCGTACTTTCTAAATTACATGACAGCAGAAAAGAAACGTTTGAATTTGAGACAAAACGTGAACAAGTGAATGTTTGTGAGAAGAGTGACTGCAAGGGAAAAAAATAGACTGCATGTGAAAGCTATGAGTACACATCAAAACCACAACACCATGAGTGAGAAAATGAGGGCACGGGACTGGAGACATTACCCTCATGACCGGTCTTGTCCAGAAACCACTTTCTGCAGCCACACATGCAGTCCACCATGCAGTCCGGCAGGCAGTAAAGCATTCACTCAAGCATCCAGTCAACCATTCAATTAACCATCACGTCAAGCAGGCAGTCAACTGCCAACATCAGCACAAGACACATGCACCACACGCACAACACCATGACATCACCACAAACGCCTCGCACTCCAGCCCACACAGAAACATAATAAATCAGAGAAAAAAAGAGGCTGAGAAAAGCAGTCACAAGTGAAAGTAGATGCAGGTAGTCAGAATGCGACAGCTGGCTTTGATAATCAAAGTTGCTTTCAGACTAAACACAGAAGGGCGGAGGCGGGGGGAGAGCACTGCAGTGACTTGCAGACAACAAAGCAGCTTGCTTTCAGTCGACGCTGACTCACGAGCCAGCTAGTGTGTGCCTTACATGCATGCAGGTGGCTTGAGACACGGGCTTTCTTGGATGCACGGAATTAGCATGTGAGCTGACATATTTTGAGACATCCAAAATATGTCAGCTCACATGCTAAGTCCGTGCATTTGAGAGCACATTTGAGTTGACACAAAAGACGTATCGGCAAATTAGCATGTGAGCTGACACAAAAGACATATCGGCAAATTAGCATGTGAGCTGACACAAAAGACATCTCGGCAAATTAGCATGTGAGCTAACACAAAAGGCATCTCGGCAAATTAGCATGTGAGCTGACACAAAAGACATCTCGGCAATAGTGTGACTCACATGTATGGGCCTGCAACAGTCGACACGAGCGAATCGACATGTAGACACGCGAGAGACAAGTTGAGGAAGAGAGGGAAACAGGAAGAAGTGAGCGAATGAGAGAGGTAAGGAGGCCAAAATAAAATTGGAAAACGATCGAGGTGAGGAACAGGGAAAGTGGGAAACAAACAGGACAGGTAGCAAACAACAAGTGGTCCCATGCAATCTGTGGAAGCTGAATGTCTCCTCCTCTCCCTCTTGTCAGAAGCCAACTCAAAGGGCTTCAAAGCTCCCTTCCTCTCCCCTTTCCTGCCTCCCCCTTTCCTGCCTCCCCCTTTCCCCCACGTTTTCCCACCACATACTCTCTCACGCTCCATCTACCCTCTCCCCTTTCTCTTCAACCCTCTCCCCACTCCCCTCCCTCCCCCCTCTTCCCCTTCCCTTCTCCCCTCCCCCCTCTCCCCTCCCCCCTCTGCACTCTCCCCTCCCCTTTCTCCCACCCCCGTCCCCTCCCCACCTGGCAGGCCGTTGAGTGCATTGAAGCACAGGCACGTGTCCTCCACAAGCACTGGACCGTCCACCTGTCACAATCACATGAAACACCACACATGCACATTATAATTATGGGAAACACCGAACGAACACGCTACAATGACAGGAAACACCACACCCGCGGGTTACTACCACTACACACGGAACAAAATGCACGCAAAAGCGGGAAAGTGAATACGACCATATCAATTTTTTAGACTCCTCCAAACAAACGTTGAGCATCAAAAGGACCGAGCATGCAACTGGATGAGGAGGGAGAAGGCATCGGGAACGAGCAAGTTATATATTGAGAAGGCATCGGGAACGAGCAAGTTATATATTGAGAAGGCATCGGGAACGAGCAAGTTATATATTGAGAAGGCATCGGGAACGAGCAAGTTATATATTGGGAAGGCATCGGGAACGAGCAAGTTATATATTGAGAAGGAGAAGCAATTTGCAGAGAGGCCGAAGGGGGAGGCAACTACCTTAGCTGCAGCGAGCCTGGCCTTCTCCTTGGAGATGTCTTCCGGCTCACCCTGTAGCTCTGGTACTGCCATGGAGGAGGGGAGGGTGGGGGGTGTGTGGAGATTGAAGGGAGCAGCAGAAAGGGGAGCAGTTAGCGGCAAGTCTGGCTTTCTCCTTGGAGATGTCTTCCGGTTCGCCCTGTAGCTCTGGTACTGCCGTGGAGGAGGGGAGGGTGGAGAGAGCGCAAGAAGAGTGGGGAGTGAGAGTGAGATAGTGACCTTAGCAGCAGCGAGTCTGGCAATTTTCTTGGCGATGTCTTCCGGTTCGCCCTGCAGCTCTGGTACTGCCATGGAGGAGGGGAGGGTGGAGGGGGTGGAGTGAGTGTGAGCGGCGGAATGGGGGAGGAAGCTATCAGTCTGGCCTTCTCCTTAGAAAGGTTTTCTGGCTCGCCCTGTAGCTCTGGTACTGCCATGGAGGGGAGGGTGGAGAGAAAGTGACGAGAGTTTGAAGAGAACGCGGAGCAAGTGTGGTGAAAGTGTGGAGAGAATATGGTGATAGCGTGAAACGATTGTGTGTAGAACGTGAATATAAACTGAGGGTATGCAGGGGAAAGGAACGTAAATGGATTCGACAGAATTTGAGAGAGTCGTTTCTGAGACGTCTCAAAGATCGCAAGGCTCGTTGAGGAGATACTGAGCAGCGAGCTGCACTGGCCTGTAGCTCTGCGAGGGAGCTTTTAGGCGCCTCAAAAAGCGAGCTGCACTGGTCTGTAGCTCTGCGAGGGAGCTTTTAGGCGCCTCAAAAAGCGAGCTGCACTGGCCTGTAGCTCTGCGAGGGAGCTTTTAGGCGCCTCAAAAAGCGAGCTGCACTGGCCTGTAGCTCTGCGAGGGAGCTTTTAGGCGCCTCAAAAAGCGAGCTGCACTGGCCTGTAGCTCTGCGAGGGAGCTTTTAGGCGCCTCAAAAAGCGAGCTGCACTGGTCTGTAGCTCTGCGAGGGAGCTTTTAGGCGCCTCAAAAAGCGAGCTGCACTGGCCTGTAGCTCTGCGAGGGAGCTTTTAGGCGCCTCAAAAAGCGAGCTGCACTGGCCTGTAGCTCTGCGAGGGAGCTTTTAGGCGCCTCAAAAAGCGAGCTGCACTGGTCTGTAGCTCTGCGAGGGAGCTTTTAGGCGCCTCAAAAAGCGAGCTGCACTGGCCTGTAGCTCTGCGAGGGAGCTTTTAGGCGCCTCAAAAAGCGAGCTGCACTGGCCTGTAGCTCTGTGAGGGAGCTACGCAGGAGAGGACAAGCCGAGCAAGGGGCCACAGAAGCACTGCAGAAGCAGTAACTCCTTCGTGCAGTGCTGCTGTGGACTCAGAGAGTCTGGATCGCAAGAGAACCTATGAAGCAAGAGAACCTATGAAGCAAGCGAACCTATGAAGCAAGAGAACCTATGAAGCAAGAGAACCTATGAAGCAAGAGAACCTATGAAGCAAGAGAACCTATGAAGCAAGAGAACCTATGAAGCAATGACCTATGAGTCGACTCAAAAAGCCGCTCGGACCTGGAAATTCTGGAATGTAGAAGCTACAGGAAGCTGATGCAGGGATGCTCCTGCGATCACGCTAGGAGGAACTGATTTCGAAGAGCAGTTGCCGAAGCCATTGCTACTACTCCTGTCGCAGAGGTACTATTCCTGTCGCAGAGATATTATTCTTGTCGCAGAGGTACTAATTCCGTCGCAGGGCGACTCACAATCGATCTTCCGGCTTCGCAGGGCGACGGACGACCCGAAGATCGCCTTCACCTCCTCCAGTTTCTTCGCATTGCCCGTCACGAACGTTATCGGGTGAATCACTTTCGCAGCCGCCGCCATCGCCGCGTTACGATCGATCGCAAAGATAACGAAAAACAAACCCTCCCGGTCGCTCTCGATCCTACCACCTCAGATCAGGTGGAAGCACGCGCTACGGGATTCGGGAATTTGGCTTCGGAATTTAGAAAATGGCGTCGGAGGCTCAAAAACAGCAACACCCAGAGGCACAAAGATTACAGACACTGAAAAGGGTTTAGATGCGTTTATGTAGAGGGGACAAAACATTTGAAATCGCGACACTGTATATCGGAGTTGCTATGACGGATTTGCAGAAGCAGCGTCATGTCACCCCAGCGATTGACACAAACCAGGGTGACACTCGCGAGGGGACTTTTTTCAGCACGAGCGAAAGTCTTACGAAGATCGTAAGCTCTTGCGAAGTCTGGTTACTAGGCTGTCTGCCAAGCGTATGCCTGTTGAGGCTCGTCGCGGATTTTTAGTGTGATCGGGCTTGTTAGTGGACGTGTCGCGTTTGCCGAGCCTTATCACACTCAAGGCCGGAGAGCGTGCCACGCAAGGGATTCTGGTTGATGCGCGGCGCTTGCCCTTTTGTCCGAAGTTTGCAGGCTGGTTTGGGAATGTTGATGCTTGACGAAAAGGTTGCAGTTCGGCTAACGACGCGAAGCAGGTTGCTCTCACCCGCAGACCTCGCTGTTACGCCCTACTGCTTTGTCATACCTCGCAGCCAATCAGAGCCCAAATAGAGGCCCAACCAAAAGGCGCCCGAACCTAAACACGACACGAAAGGTGCTTGTGTGAACCCCAGCTCAAGCAACACACAAAACGAAGCTCTTCGTTGTGAGTCGTGACTCGTGAGTCGTGTCGTGCCTAGTGACTACTCCTTACCTTCTGAATTGCCGTCGTGAGTGCGTTTTGCCGTAGCATCGCTAGCATCCAAAAAACTCTCGACTCAGCTCATCCGCTCTGTGCTAGGTCATTTTCCCAAAAGATAATCTCACGGATTGCTACTGAGCCGTTCAATCACCCGCTTCGCAATGATCAACGGTACTGCGAATAGTGCGCCGAAGGGGGCCGAAGCGCTTCCTTCGACATATCACCCAGTGACTACCTCCTTAGATTCCCTGCCGCAGCTCACGCCTCAAGATAAGCTATTCATAGCGGCGCGCTGCTTCGTCGTGGCGCTCGGTCTGCTCCTCGTAACTTTCCACTTTTTCAAGGACTCTGCGTTGTGGCACTCGCCTATTGAGTGGTTCGATATGAGTGCATTCAATCATGCTAAGTTAGCGGCGGATTTCCGCCCTTTCGATGCTAATATTTCGGGGAGCGTTTACCAGGAAGGATTAGCGGCTGTATCCATACCTGCTGATTCACCACCCGCTGTAGCCTTACCTGCTGAATCCGCACCGGCTGTATCCTTACCTGCTGATTCCCCACAGGCTGGATCCTTACCTGCTGAATCCCCACCGGCTGTATCCATACCTGCTGAATCCCCGTCTGCTAAGCCCTTGCCGCCTGAAGGGGATAGCCCTCTCGTCGCTTTCGATCGCGCATTCGCCACTCTGGTCTCGTTCCAACAAAAAGGTCGTTTTTCGTTCGCCAATATCGCGACGTTCAATGTCGACCCCTCAGTTACCAGCAGCGCCTCCGTCGCCACGCGCTACAAGCTTCTCTCGCTGCCCGTTTCACGTGTGCCCGAAAATCTGACGTGGCCCGATGTGTACCCTGTTTGGGTGAACGAATCTGACGCATCCTGCCCAAGAATTCCTGAACCGGACTATCCAGATTGGCTGACCAGCATCGACGCCATTGTCGCACATGTGCCCTGCGAAGAGCCTAGCGATTCCTGGGCGAAGGATGTTCGCTGGCTACACCACCTTCTCACTATAACAAGCTTCGTCACAAGGGTACTGTATTCTTATCCCCCTCGTCGATCTTCTAGCAGCCTCGCCGCCCGTGGCATGGTTACCAGTGGTGCTGCTATCCACGTGTCATTCGTTCTCCCTCTCCCATCCCCCCTGTATCGTGGCAAATCGCCCGTGGTTACCAGTGACGATACTGTCCTCGTGTCGTCTCATCCTTCCCCAATTGTAAATAAGGGTTGGCTGAAGTTCAACCAACCCTTCTCTCGGTTCCCCTGTTCCAGGTTCGCCTCCTGTGGTTACCATAGTGTTACCCTCCGCCTTATTCGTCCAATCCCCTTGTACTATCTCTCTTGTAACAGGCGAATCGCACGTGGTTACCAGTGTTGTTACTCTCCGCATGCCGCCCGCCGCCCAACCTCTTCCACTGCTCGCGACTCGTGACGCGGGAGGGTGACACGTGGCTGTACAACCTGACGGCCAGTGACATGCTGACACGTGTACAGCCCCTGGGATCATGCGCCATGGCTCAGCCTATCAACAGCAAGGTGGCAGGTAGGGGACAAGAGGTTCGCGGCAGAGTCATAAGTTGTCATTGCGTATTTCTCTCTGTGCCATTGTAACGAGGTGGCTTTTGAGTCGACTCAAAAGTCACTATAGTCATAAGCTTTCATTGTATTTCTCTTGTGCGCTGCATGCACAGTAACGTACTTTTATCCCTTTATAATGGAACTCCCTCCTCCACGTGCGTCCCTTTCTCCCCTCCCTCAGCCAACCAACGCGTCGCGTATGCTACAGTGCTACACTCGTCGGATCGCTACGTGTGGGGCGCTATAGTACTGGGGCAAAGCATAAGGAGATTCAAGAGGAGAGCAGGCGAGGGCTCAAGGAGGCGGGGTGGACGGTGAAGGAGATTGAGAGGATTCGCAACCCCCACGCACTCAACGGGACTTACAACGAGTGGAACTACAGGTCTGTGTGCTTGTACCGGACTACAAGTATGTGTGCTTGTAGCGAGTGGAGCTAGAGGTATGTGTGCTTATACCAAGTGGAGGTAGACTTGTGTGTGCTTGCTGATATGCAAAAATCCGTGGTAGACCTTGGTCTTTTCTTGAAATAATGGCCTTGGTAAATCTTGTGCCTCTTTCACCCACCTATTTTCTTTTGAATCATGATGCTTGATCATTTACATCTGACCTTCTGTAGATGTTTTTGTCTTGAACCAGGTGCACAAAGATTTTAAGCAATCAGTGATTCATTTTGCTTCTGTGGGTTGATATGACTTCTGCCACTGTCTTCTTTTTGCTTGTTGACTCCCCTTCTCCCCATTCCCCCTCTCTCCACCCCTTCAAACCCCCCACCCCCCCCGCCCCAGCAAGCCGCGGCTGTGGCAGCAGACGGAGTACGCCAAACTGCTCTTCATTGACTCTCGTTGACTTCATTAACCACTCTCTTCAATCCCTCGCCTCCCCCCCACCCCCATCTCCCTCCCCCCATCAACACCACCAGCAAGTTGAGGCTGTGGCAGCAGATGGAGTACGCCAAGCTGCAATACATTGACTCTCGTTGACTCCATTGACCTCTCCTAAATCCCCTCCCTCCCTCCCCCATCTGTTTCCCCCCCCCAGCAAGCTGCGGCTGTGGCAGCAGACGGAGTACACCAAGCTGCTCTTCATCGACTCGGACCTGCTCCTCTTGAACAGCATTGACTTTCTCTTCTCCTACCCCGAGATCTCCGCCCGCGGAAATGACGGCACAGATTTCAACTCAGGCGTGATGGTCTTGGAGCCGTCGGATTGCATGTTTGAGCTGCTGATGGCAAATCTGGAGCGAGTGCTATCGGAGAATGGAGGGGACCAGGTGAGACCATGTTCTTATGTCATGTGATGCCAGTCCCTATCACCCTCTTGCAGCGGAAGCCACTACTTTGAACTGTGATGGTTCAAACAGTTTGTTTGTTTGTTTGTTTGATTGATCGTTTTTTTTTTTGGTCGAGTGCCTGTTGTGAAGCTGAAAGGAGTGCAATCGCCCGACGATGGGGACCAGGTGAGACCAAGATTTGATGCGACTCTCTAGCACCCTTTTGCAGGTGATATCACTCTTGCAGTCCAATCATTCTGAGTTGATTGTCAGTTCCCTTGGCCCTCGATTCCACTGATTTATTTTTCACCAATTTCCATCACATTCACACCCCCCCCCAGGGCTTCTTGAACAATGTCTTCACCTGGTGGCACCGCGTACCAGATTCCATAAACATCTTCAAACCTGTCTGGACCTCTGACCCGGTGAAGAAGCAAGCACTCGTCTATATGAAAAGCGGGTGGTTTTCAGAAGACCCTTCGGAAATCCATGCAATACACTACCTTGGTATGAAGCCATGGTTGTGCTATCGTGAGTTTGATTGCAACATTCTGATACCCGAATTTTACGACTTCACTAATGAGGCAGCTCATAAGCGGTGGTGGAGTGCACACGATTCACTGCCGGAGCCACTAAAGCAGTTTTGCTCGATATCAAGTCAAGCAGAGGCGAAGCTGAAGAAGCTGATTGAACAATCCAAGCCGAAACCAGCGCCGTAGTTACTGAATTCCGTAGGTTAAATACCGTATGAAAGTCTAGAAAATTGACCAGAATCAGACACTTGCAACAAATCAGACTTGCTCAAAACACTTGGAAGAATCAGAATCGCTAAAAAGCACTTGCAACAACATTCAGCAAACAAGGGTCACATTATAGCTGACTCTTTGATGCCCTACATTCCACAGCTGTCTCGTCTCAACAACTAACTACAACCCCTCTGAGCCGTGAGTCACGGCATGCCATTACACCTTGCATGCGAGGTTGACGACGAGGGAACCCCTGGTGACAATAAACACACGAAGTCAGGCACTGGTACTACCAGAGGACAACAGGATAATATTCATGCGAAATAAAAAAGAACGTGAATGGGTTCGAGAATTTACCGATTGGCGTGGGAGGTGAATGCCTGGGCGTCGGAGTAGGCCCAGATCATGTTGTTGTTACCCAGGTAGTTGACAGGACCCAGACCGCCCTTGCCCATACGAGTGAACCTGAAACGATAATTGAAATGCATGAGATGGTGATTTGGGAGGAAGGAGCAACCTTGGAGGTGCAAGAACGGGCATCATGAAGGGCGGTTTTGCGCAAAAAAAAGAGACACAACTCACTTGACGATCTTGCCACCGTCAGAAGTGGTAACCACGGATTTCGCTGAGAGTTTCACTGCGGCTACGGCTGCCTTCTTGACCTGGGCCACAGTCTTGCCCGTCATCGCGTAAGCCAGCACGTTGTTTGGCGCGGCTCCCGCCAAATTCCCCACCACGGCGTCGGCAGGAGCCATGAAGCCGGGCTTCTTCGTCCAGCCAATGGAAATCCACCCCGTCTCGCCGCCGCTCCCGGCCTTCGCCTCAATCGCAGCCATGATCCCGTCGTTCTTCTTGGTGATGTTCCAGTGCAGGACAAACAGACTGAAGATTTTGGGGAACGAATGATAAAGGGTACTAGTTTTGTTAATTACAGGGCTAGGCTGATCGGAACAGCAACCCGAACTCTGTCACAGAAGTAAGGCTACTAAATTTCACTGCGGGCGTACAAAACGAAAACGATGATTTCCTAAAAAAACGATGCATGCTAGTACTAATTTCAATCCGAAAACGCTTCAGACACGTACCCGTCATCAGTAAGTTTGACGGACTTCGCGTATGACGGCAGAGTCGACGCGGCGCAGGCTGCGGCGGGCTTAGTAACGGCCGCGATGCCCGAAGAGTGATGTCGCGCGAATACGCTGCTCGCCGTAGCGAGGAGCAAAAGGGCGAGCGATGCGGATAGGAATGAAAAGTGCGAGGCCATGATGGAGATGAGGGCGTTGGTGGGTGTGTTGGCTGGTGAGATGAGGGTGTTGCTGGTGAGATGAGGTTGTTGGTGGGTTGGTTGGATGAGAAATTCAAACAACTCCCGTTGCCCTACATACCACACTGAGGTTTCGAAGCGCGAGGAATTTCGGCTCGGGGATTTCGGCTCGGGGAGGGTGGTTGTGGGGAAATGGGTGACTCCCTCGAAGATCTCACCGAACCAGACCCAAGACTTTCTCTAATCTCCCAACCGTTTCCTGCTCTTGAAAAACCCCTAACTGTACGAAGTGACCACGCTTGCTCGGTGAGCACCGTACGTGATGTAACCCGGTCAGGTCAAGCGATGATTCGCTACCGGGGCTGAGTTCGAACCGAACCAGAAATAAGCCCTCCGCGAAGCGCACACAACTTCAGTCGCGTTGCAAATTGCAATGCAACATTTCTTGGGGAATGTGGCTCGCCGGAGAACACTATTGGTTGCGTGGAAGGTGATGTCAGCACTTTGAGCTGACATGTCGGAACCTTATTTGTTACACATCCCCGAAAGGTTAGGGTTTCCGCAACCACCTTCAAGCGCGTCCCATTCCACGTGAACAAGACCAACCAAATCGCACTCACGTTGTGACTTCCACGTTCGGGCCACACGTTCGGTGCGTGAAAGAATTTGCGGAACTTCCAGCTCAGCAGAACATGTAGCGCAAAAAAAAAAAAAACACATACTCTTTAATAGTCGCTTCCCGTGTAAAATCTCAGTTCCACTTTGTTTTCCCAGTAGCAATGGAAAACAATGTATATTTCACTAACCAAGCATGCATGAATGTCTCGCCCTGTACCAACCTAACGTACCTGTGCAACTTTAACTATATTATGTTACGAATAGTGAAATGATAAATGCAGTGTGCACTCCTAACCGCAGCAAGTGAAGCACACAATATCGAGGTTGAATGCGAAGTGGTGGAAACAAGTCATTTAAGCGCTTCTGTTGTGTCGAAACACTGAGTCGTAAACGAAGCGAAGCACAAACGAAGCATCGGCGAGTCAACTATCGGAGGTTGACAAGTGAAGTAACCGTTGGAGGTTACGCGAAGGTCAAAGGTCAGCGACCTTTGACTTAACAAATACAGCGCGACAGCAAGGACAAACAACTGACTCGATACAGAGCAGTTGCCCGAGTTGTCACTGTATCGAACCGCAACAGCAACAGTAAAACAGTTATTAGATGCATCTCTTCATATTCCTTGTATTCTTATAAAACCTTGTATCTTGATTTAATCAATCTACTTTGCCCTCACATACTAGCGCAAGGTGGTTCAATACTTCTCATTAAAACGCTTCCGCAACTACAACATTCCTATCCAGAGTTTAGCCCTGCAAAGATCCTAAGGGCAATTTCTCAGCCCAACATGGTATCAGAGCTATCAGGGCAAACTCAACTACTTTCAAGACACTTACAACATCAGAAGGCATGGCAACACAGAAGGAGAGAAGCTCCTCTAACGGTTCTCTCGGCACTACTCCTACTCCACCTCCTGCCTCTGGCCTACAGACAGAGGAGGGCACAGCAACAAGACCAGCAGCTGAGTCTACTGAAACTCCCGCGAACCAAGCGACGGGTTTCAATCCAAGCATGATGGAGAAATTCTTCTCCTTCATGTCCTTCTACGAACAACACCAGCAAGCGGCACCTGCGCAGTCAAACATCAGCAACAACAACAACGACGTTACGCCCATGAGCCTCGATGGTTCATCCTATGCGCGCGGAAACCAGCAGCAACCTACCTTTGCTCCGTACGAGCCCCAGCGCGGCTCCATAAGCTTCATGCCACGTCAGTAGCCTTCACCTGGACAAGAAAAGACACTGGACGCACTTCTGGTTCAGTCGCAGTTCGCGCACGTTCTGAAAATTCAAACATCAACACCTTTCGACGGGAAGGATTTATATACCCGGTCATTCGAGTTTGAGCTGATGATGGAAGGCGCACAGATTCTTGGATTCTTCGACGGGTCCCTGCCATACCCAACGCACAGAACGCAATACGACAACGTATACGTATCAGTCAATGATGGCTTACACGATCCTGCTGAGGAACGTAACTCCAAACCATCAGCAGAATATTCGGCCTTATTGGGGATATGGCAACTCCGTCGAGCTCGCGTACAACCACTTGAAGAACTTGTATCAAGCAACAGACAGCGTCAATCAAAGTCGATTAATGGCACAGCTGACAGCAGTCGAAACGAGACCGGGCGAAAAGGGAATGGCGTATATCAGCCGCTGTCGCGAATTGCACGACAAACTCCTTCGATACGGAGGATCGATATCTGAAGAAGTCTTCGTCACAGTTGTCATCTCCGGTCTTGGTCCTCACTGGCGCTCCACTCGCGCCATACTCCGAGCTCATGGAAAAATCTCTGAAGCAGCACTCTGCGCTGAAATACACACTGAGCAACAAGACATGGACCAGCATGAGGAACGGCACAAGAAAAAAACGTCAGTACCCAAATTTGCATTCCACACTTAACGGCGCTACAACAACAACAACAATCGGCATCAACCAAAACCCATACCTCCGTTTTGTCATCTTTGCAAGACATCAGGACACCCTCGCACGCATTGCCCGAATCGACAGCAGCCAACACCGCCGCAATGTCAACTTCGTCCTTCAAGCAGCCAAGTAGCATCCACACAGGCGCACCCCACAAGTCAGACGCAGTCTTCAACTACATCACCGACACAACCCGCACAAGGAGCAAGAGACATCGTGAGCTGCATGGCGAGATTGTCAGATTCCTGCATCACCGAATCACCACCACACTACTCACCAGAAGAACTGCTCGATGAGAACACTCCTCGCCGTGAAACACTGGAGCCGAACCCGACATACGGAGCCATCGCCCAGAGCGAGCCGTCCGGGAAGGACACTTGGTTCTTGGACAGCTGCTGCGGACAACACATGTGCTCCTCGGGTCGCTTCGTTCAACGCGAACATCAACTCCAGCGCGAAGTCGTCATTACCGTCGCCAACAATCAGAATCTGCGCACACGACGACAAGGAGTTGTTCAACTTCAGTCAAGAGAAATAAACGTAATACTGCAGATGCCAAAGGTCTTGATCGCGGAGGGACTCGGCTACAACTTACTGAGTGTGAGTCAACTGATGGCGAAAGGGATTCACCTCGAAGCAGACAGCACCACTCAGGAGTTCAAGTTGTACCACGGGATTGGCGGACTCTACATCGGAATAGCTGTGCTGAAAAACAACGTCTTCGTTCTTGACTTCGTTCCAGACTTAGGCACCGCCTACAGCGACGGAATCGTGACCTTCACCTCCTTGACACACCCACCGGACCTTGATCCCGACTTCAGCCCCGCCGGATTCTGGTATTCACACACCATACCTGAAACAGAAAGAACGAGAGCATTAGCAACAATTCAATCGGCAGCAGCAGAGACAACATCGGCAGCGGCAGAGACAACATCGACAGCAGCAGAGACAACATCGGCAGCAGCAGCGGCAACATCGGCAGCAGCAGAGACAACATCGGCACCAATCGCTAGCCCTTCAACTGCACCGGTCTTCGTCGACAACACACCACCGACTCCCGCACAGCAGCTGAACCCAACTCTACGAGAAGTCCATCGAGGCGCAAACTTCACCGTAGGCTTCTACTCCAACTTTGACCTGTACAGATGTTTACCCGGACATCGCGCCACTGAAGGAACCTGGCACGCAAGAATGGGACATCCAAGCAATACGACGTTAAACAACACGATAAGAGCAGGCGTGCTCGACAAAGACTCACTAGTTCTAACCGACGGCTGAGAACTCCAGCGAGTCCGCGGAACGTGCTTCACCTACCCTGAAGCTGACTTACCGCATCAGCCGTTCGTCTCGCATCACAACCCGAGCGCACCAGCATACGCACCTCTGGAAAAAGTGTACACCGACATCCTGTACAACCGCGAACCTGGACAAGGAACATACAATTATGTCATCATGTTCATCGATGCCGCCACACGATACGTCTGGCACCTCAATCTTCTGAGCCGCGGCATGGCCTTCGAAGCCTTCGTCGCCTGTCTTCCAGTAGCAGAACGAGAATCAGGAGTGAAGCTAAAAAGCTTCCAGTCAGACGAAGGAGGGGAATATCAATCACAAAGGTTCAAGGACTACCTGGCAGAAAAGAGGCATCAAGCGGCTCATCTCCCTTCCCTACGCTCACCAACAGCAAGGCGTGGCAGAAAGAATGAACATGACTCTTCAGAACACCATGCGCAAGCTACTACGTGGCATGCGGCTACCCAACCACCAGTGGCCCGAAGCAATGGACCACGCCGTGATGCTGCACAACTTGCTCTCGTCATCTTCGCTCCCGAACAACGCATCACCGCATCTGCTGTGGACAGGAAAACTGGGCAGCACAAAAATGTTGCGAGTTTTTGGCTGCATGGTACATTACCGACCCCCAGCTGCACGCGCCGGCGGATTCTCCCAACGCGCACAGTGGGGACTACACATGGGCATCGGACATCATTACAACGCAAGGAAGATTTTCGACATCAACACAAAGGAAACAGTGGCAGCACGTGATGTCATCTTCTACGAAAACCTCACCCTTCGGGCATACCTTGCCAACGTGGAAGAAGGAAACCCAGACCTCTCGGGCGGATTTCTTTGCACCCGAGCCTTCGCCTCGGCAGAGGATGAAGCTGATTGGGACGAGCAAAACGTGGACAGAGCCTCGGAGGAAGCCAGACCTCTTCCCTACGGCTCGGTCGATGTTCCGATGGACGACGACAATCCTCGCGAAAGCATCAACGCCAAAGTCTATTATCACTACGCCGACAACGGTTATGTTACACCTGCAAGAGTCAACACCAACGAAGCAGAACGCGTAGGACCCAACTTCATACCTGATCCAGAAGCAGGAGACGAAGCCGTCTATCCCCGAGTATACAACACTTCCCCGCTACACACAGAGCGGACTACAGATACT